AAGATGGGAAAGAAAGGAAGAGAACAGGATTAAATCCTGTTTAGTGGCACAGAGGGCTGTATCTCTATAACTATGTTGCCGTCCAGTTTCTAAAAATTACTTCATAACTTTTTTTGATACATTTGAATAGAAGCTGGCCCCTCCAGCTTCGAAATAAGAAATATCCAACGTTGTGTGCATCTGTATCCAAAATACTTTCAATACCAACCCTATTCCAATAGCGTCTTTTTCTATCAGGAAGGAGGGTCAGCCAAGGACAGAAAAGATGGGCAATGGAAAAGAGTGACTGTGGAGACTGAAAAAGCGAGTTCTTTAAGACGACTGCTGGAATTCAGGAGCCCTTGTTTAAAGATGAGCCATACTGAAGTACATATTTAAAGCCCGGAAGCAAATACACTTGGCTAAATCCTCTAGGGATAGGTGGTTTAACTGTAATGTGCACGCTACAGTATCGCAGCTTATACCACTACATGCCTCTCCAGGCACATGGGGACAAAGCAAGTGAAAGGAGGCAGTTATGTGGGGTGAGGCTTGAATTCACAATTAGGCAAGTAATGACTTCAGCCACAGACAGCCTGTTTGACCATACTGATTTTATAATTTGATTGCATATTTAAGTATTATAATGGTATTCAAGAGTAATAGATTGGTTTAAAACTTTTTAAACCTGTTGTATTACTTTAAAAAGGAACAGCGTCTCTCACGTTCTCTATTATGTATTTCTGTATTAGCCACCCTAGCTTGAAGTAGGGGGCTAGTGTAGACATACCTTTAGAGACTCTCCATAAGCCAGTTTGTTCAAGAACTCCTCCTAAACGTAGGAGCTGGGACCACCAAATTTGGTACATAGCTTCCTCTTCTCATACAAAGTGAGGTCAGGGTTTGGTTGTGCCAGGACAATGGGACGTCCTGGAATCAGATTGTTTTCCCATTAAATGGAAAGGGAGGGCTCTGACAGGAGGGACAGTTATACTCCAGAATGACCATGGGAGGGGGGCAGCAAGAGTGGCAGCCCTAGGGAGAAACCGCCTGCCAGGGAGTACCACCCTGACTGGCCCCAGGGGGAGAAGCTGCAGGCTGGGGCAGTATGGCCACTTGTGGCCCTTGGGAGCCCTCATACACCTTCCTGCCCTCATTCTGCCA